TAATTTGGAAACTGCTTCAATACTACGGAGTGCCGCAAACCTTTATCCGCCTCATTCAACAACTATATGAAGATGCCACATGCCAAGTAATCCACAATGGGAAGCTCAGTGATGCCTTTGAAGTGAAGACAGGAGTGAAACAAGGTTGCCTACTATCCCCCATGATATTCTTGATTGTGGTGGACTGGATCATGCAGCAAACAGTAGGCAGCGAGAAGAGGGGGATACACTGGACTGCGGAAAAGAACCTAGAAGACTTGAATTTCGCAGATGACTTGTGCCTGATGTCACATAAACTTGAAGATCTACAGGCAAAAACTAACAAGTTGATAGAAGAGGCAGCGAAGACGGGACTTCAGGTGAATATAGAGAAGACAGAGGTGATGAAGATACCGCACCACCACCATCAACAACAACAACAAACTCCAATCACCGTCAACAGGAGAAACTTAAAAGAAGTAACCTCCTTCACTTATCTAGGAAGCACTGTTTCAACTACAGGCGGGACGGACGGGGACGTCAAAGTCAGAATAGGAAAAGCCAAACAGACGTTCATTAACCTGAAACCAGTGTGGAGATCTTCTGCACTCCACTCAGCATGCGGAGCAAGATACAGATTTTCAACACCAACGTCAATTCAATGCTTCTGTATGGTTCAGAGACTTGGCGCGCCACGAAAGGGATTTCCAACAAACTACAGACATTCATCAACAACTGCTCACGCTGGCTACTGAAGATCAGATGGCCAGAATAATTAGAATAAGCAACAAGGAGCCCTGGCTGGTGACGAACCAACCAAGAACCTATCACCCAACAAATATGCAGGAGGAAGTGGGGATGGATTGGCCATGCACTGCGAAGACCGACTGAGGACATCACGCGTCAGGCCAGTCGCTCGAGTGGAATCCCCATGGGAAGCGACGAGTTGGACGTCGGTGCCGAGGGTGACATGGAGGAGGTCGTGCGAGGAAGAAATGAGAGCTTCTGGGCTGTTGTGGAGCCAGGTTCAAAAGATCTCAGAGAACAGAGGTCACTGGAGAGGTGCTACTGAAGCCCTATGTTCCACTAGGAACCCAAGGGACTAATAAATAAAGACAAATAAATTGATTCTAAGTAAAATGAATTCGACATATCAAGGATACATTGAAGGAATAGTTAATTTTTATATACTTTCGACAAGCTGTATAACTCAGCATTATAGTGCCAGTAAGTCTTACCTTGTGAAATAGAACCTTACTGGAATAACAATGTTTAGTGATTCAGTTAGCCACTTTCATATTTCAGAGTTTATAAACCTTGAGTAGTTTCCGTGACATTTAGGACTAGCTGAATACTCAGTTGTTTACTGTACACAGTACGAATAATTCAAGTATAAAATTGAAATTCATACGTGAGATGTAAGAAGTTTTCTTTATGTTCTTTTCTTATGTCAGCAGACTTCAGTGTTCTACAGCTATGAAGACGTAAAGTTAAGCATTTAAATACATTACAGTTCGGAGGACATTTAGAGGAAGAAGGATAACTTTTTCTTTCCAAAAGGAGAAAATTCGAAGTAGATATGGTTTGCAGATTGGAACTGTTGATTAGGAGTGGTTACTGAAGGTTAAATGAAAATCTTGGCCGACGCATGATTGAAACCGGCGGCCTCTGGGATACCAACGTCGCTCTCTGACAACTGAGGTACATGAACAAGCTGCTACTCAGGTTTAAATTTCACTTTACAACTCTTCAAGTTACAAGGCACTAAGATGAAAGATCAGAAAAATAGAGAATGAAGTAGTCAGTGTTAAAAGGTTGCGAAAAGAAAACAAGAAGGGATGATACATGAACAAGTTATTTCAAGAAATCCAAACTCCATAGGAATATCGAAAAGTTAGTTATGCCCTATTGTGTTGTTCAACGAAATAATTTCACTCTGAAAAATTCATAGTTTTGCTTTTATGATTTACACCACTTCGAACGCGAATCACCCTCTGTAGAGTAGTAGTGAGTTAAGCGAGTAAGTCCTGACGAAACCTATTTTCAAGGCTATTTGAACAGCTGACGTTAAACACACAGCGCATTCAAGTTCCTTATTCCTTAGATTTGTAGTGAAATAATATTTCTGGGTCGACAGATTTCTGTTAATTGTTTGGAATTCAACAGTACCTTGCTGATCACTTGAAGATCTATAGCTATACACAGTAAATTGTAGGGAATCCAAGATTTCCTAGCGATACTCAATACTACAGATTTTTCATATTTCCCTATGGGACTTTTTCACAGATTTTAGTTGATTAACTACACAATGAATTTCTATGCCCTTCTGTAATTCTTCAGTACCATCCATATTACATTCTTTTTCACAAAAAATTCGTAGACACAAACTGACTGCTTGATATTTCTTTCTGGTCAAAAGTACCTAATTGCACTTCAGTATTCACAGACACTTCATCTAAAATATTCGTACTGAAGGGACGAAAGAAAAAAGTAAACTTTCATGAAAAACCAACAATGTCACATCTCACCTACTATCTGAGTACCTGTGATTCGGCTAATTACCTTTCTCTTTCTCTAAAATGTTTAACTGTTTTTAACTGAAACAGTGATACTTATGAATGTGTTACTGATATGAAGTTGTATTCCTTTGTGTAATTTGAGTAATATTTCAAATATGAAACAAAACAAATTGCTGTTAGAAAATTATTTCTACTTTGTTTTCAAAACAAGTGACTAAATTTTTAGTAAATTGTCAACATTTCTTATATGACATTCTTCTCACTTCTGACCTTTGTAATTAGGTATTATTTCGAGACTCATATTACACACTAAATCATTTGATGTCTGGATGATAGGTCTTCATACAGAAAGTGATTCATTCTCTACTAGACAATATAGTTACTCTGTAGATAATCAGTCATACTGAACTCAGTAAGTAATTCATTCAGACTCGGTAATTAAAGCTTTCGTTAAAATTGGTCGCTTATTTTTATATATACATAAAATTTGTTTGAAAATAATTACCTGGATGAAGATATGAAAGCAAACTGACAAAAAAATGATAATTTTACTAGAGCTGATAGATACCACTTTAATAAGATATAAATATGAAAGTGGACCAAATGTATATTATACCTGAGTCATTGTAATAAAGTGGCAAATAAGAAGAATGAATAAAAAGACTATAATAATGCTGTCTTGTCAATAAATCTTGAGAAAATGTTTATGTGGACAATTACCTATGAATTCACCAAATTCATTGGTTGGTCTTTGGAGAATAAACAGCTTCATTTTGTCCAGTTGCAACTACTGCCTGAATCTAAATCATCATTTAGCAATGTGATCACCAAGCTAGGAGATTCATTATTGCAAAATACTTCAATCGGCAGGAAGACTTGAATTTTGGCTTCGCACTTGTTGGTCCTCATCGACAAGATGTATCTAAAACATCGAGGAAACTGATATCTCCTCGTATTGTAGGACAAGTAACGTTTACTGCTTCAATTGAAGACCCCGGCATCGAGATTTTTAAGCTACAACTGGTATTCTTTACGGCGGCACCGTTTAAATTAGTGGCTCTGCAGTGAACAATCAGTATATATAACCTTGTCCTACAGGAGGTCGGTTGCTGCTCAAACTGCTGTAATAAGGTCCCCGATTCAAACAACGAATGACGTGGATTCTGACCTCTCAGAAGAGGCTGAAGAAAAGCCTCATTGGTGAGTGCTAACAAGCACAGAACTTATGTCGGACAAGCCTTGCTTTCCACTGCTTACAACCACCTTACATCGACCCACTTGGTCATTGTGCACAGACTCCATTTCATCCTCTCAAAGGATAATTAGTTGCCATTAGTTTGGACGGTATATAAAGACGGGTATACTCATCAACAACCATTCCACGTAGTCCTTTGTAGAAAAAAAATGGTAATTCAATTTTTTTTTCTCTATCCATTGTTCAAGAGAACTAAAATAGTATAGGCAGTATACCAAATAACAACAATTTCAACTCTAGTAAACACTTCTTTCTACTTACTTCTGAAAATATCTTTAAAACGTTTTTTTTCGCACTTCAGATTCTCAAACAAACAACACTTAAAGGATGCTGAAAGAATTTCCGTGTATTGATTAATATTATACTATTGATTTTAGGAACTGGATTACGCGGGCTTTGTGGAATGAAACAACTATCGACACTAAAAAACCCACTGTAGAATGGTTGTGCATTTGAGGTAATAGTTATTTAATTTGTACACTAAGGAAAGAAATCATGTTCTACTTGTATCGGATACATATCATTTATTACCATTTCATCAAGTCAAATATTAAGGCTGGTTTTTGTGTTATCTTTCATAAAACGCTGAGTCCTTTGTGGAGTTCTGAATATAATCCAACAGGATATTTTGGCAAAGGGAGCACTTAGTCGTGAAGGAAACCACTAATCTAGATAACTATTCTCATTCTTGAAACTGACACCCATCAATGGGTTAAACAACATACGATTTGTACACTATTGCAAGTGAGATAGATCGAAACAAACTCATCCGCAAATATTAGTCGTAAATCTAACGAAAACCATGTTAAGAGAAACGGATACTTGGAGAAGAGAAGGTAGCATCATTTCTATAGCATCTAAAGTTTAACATAAAAGTATGTATTAGTTTGCTTTCTACGTTCTGCATACATACCACAAACATAATGATATGTATACCAGCCATGGTTGAAACATATACACATACCAGTGTACAAAATAATGTATCGTTAGGACGTAAAAGATTCCGAAAATGCATATATATATATATATATATATATATATATATATATATATATATATATATATATATATATCCGGATAAATGACAAGCATAATAGCATATTACGTGCTAATATCCGTCATCCAGTTAGTAGGTGCACACCACAACATATTCATACAACAAACATTTAGTAAATGATTACGCCCACAGTCATATCATTACTAGTAAATGGATACATGCTGTTTTTCTGATCTGTTAAGGTATGATAACCACTGTTGCCTGGGGAAAGCACTCAATTGAAAACAGCATTTTAGAAGGCTTTATTATTCTCCATTCATTACGATATGAGATAAACAACTGTTTATCGTTCAATTCGCCAACTGTTCTGCTTGCTAAGATTTCAGACACAAACATGAACATTGAGTTTCACTGACACGCATAGATTGTGTGGATGATAATTCTTCCATGAAGTTGATCTGCTAAGGAAAATTATAAATATAAAACAGCCATATAGTTATTTAGGGATTCATCTGGATGGATTTACTTGAGCATGTGCATAACTGACTGTAATAGATGATTACTTGTGACTTTCAGCAGGTTTGAGGGATTATTTTCACATTGCTTTTGTACCCCAAAGCGAATCTTTAGTTTTTATGGTATTAAAGCTTCCTTTTATCAGACGTCACTGTTGATGGTTTCATCAAATCAGTTGTTAGTTAGCTTAACTGATGTCAAGTTATTAATTGACATGTTTCATGATTTTGTAACACATACATACCAACGGCAGACTATTCAGAACTGTAAGCTTTAATGAAATATCATTTTAACGAATATGTTCTCCTGCAACGGATATTGAAGTCTGATGTGATTGAGTTAAATACAGTGAAAGTACTTTTTGGATTAAAGATATATCTATATTGTGATTTATTCTACGTCTCAGTGAAAATTTGATTTCCCTGCACACAGATGTTAGAAAGGTGCTTTAATTTGTATCTGTCTAGTGCTTCAGTAATATAAATTATGCAGCCCTGATTATTTACATTGAAAGATTATTGTAATAATACTGTCAGTATCCATAATATCTGGATTCAAAACTATGACCGGGACAGGCAGGCTGGATTAAGGAAGTACAAATCATGTGCAGACCAAATTGCAACGCCACACTAAGCATAATCATAGGACAGAGTTTAGAATGGCAGTCAACCCTCTACCTCACCTCAACTTCATCGACTTTGAAAAGGCCTTCGACAGCGTCGACTGACAATTAATTTGACAGCTGCTGCTTCAACACTATGGAATACCACAAACCTTTATCAATCTCATTCAGCAACTATACGAAGACGCCACATGTCAAATAATTCAAAATGGGAAGCTCAGTGATGCTTTTGAAGTGGGGACAGGAGTGGCACAAGGCTGTCTACTATCACCCATGATATTCCTGATTGTAGTGGACTGGATAATGAAACAAACGGTGATGAGCCAGAGGAGGGGGACACGCTGGCTGGACGGTGGGAAAGAACCCAGATCTGGATTTAGCCGATGACTTGTGTCTAATGTCGCACAAACTGGAAGATCTACAGGCGAAAAATAAGTTGACAGAAGAGGCAGGGCAGGGCAGCGAAGACGGGACTTCAAGTGAATATAGAGAAGACTTGGCGCGTTACGAAGGGGATTTCCAACAAACTACAGACATTCATCAACAACTGCCACCTACGCTGGCTCATTACTTAAGATCAGTTGGCCAGAAAAAATAAGCAACGAGGAACTCTGGCCTACCAACGAACCAACCAACAACCTATCGCTGAACAAATATGCTGAGGAAGGAAGTGGAAATGGATTGGGCATACATTGAGAAGGCCGATTGGGGACATCACGCGTCAGGCCAGGCAGTCGAGTGGGACCCAGATGGGAAACGATGAGTTGAGAGTCCGAGGTGACATGGAGGAGATAGTGTGAAGAAATGAGAGTTTGTGGGCTGTTGTGGAGCGAGGTTCAAAAGTTTGCAGAGAACAGAGTGCACTGGAAACGTGCTACTACTGAAGCCCTATGTTCCACTAGGAACCCAAGGGACAAATAATAATGATCCATAATATGCTTTGTAATAGACAAAACTGATTGTCAGTGTTTGAGAATTCAGCTACAGTTTGAGTAAATGTTCTACGCTCAAGGGTATATCTCTACTACTGCTTCTTATGCATATGTTCACTTAACTGCTTAGGATACTGAACTGTAACACAATCATCTGTATGATGATGAGATTAGTTCTGCAGAACATTTTATTTTCCTAATTAATACAAGTCTAGCTTAGCTGCCTAGTACCTTGTAGCAAACATGGAATTCAATTTTCGCTTACCGAATTGTATGTTTGAATTCTCCCCTGTATGGTGGTGCATTGAAAATCTTTTCTTCAGAACAGACTTTAAAGTAGGTTTTAACTTTAACTGACTTCTTCAAGGTTTTATAAACTAAATAAATATCCACTTTTGTTTTTGTTGTTCCAAATTAGATTTTGATATCGTCATCCACAATATCTACTAAGCAGGTAAGTTCTGTTAAGTGAACATTTTATCATACGTCACTTACATCACACTTAGCTACCCTAATGAAGTCGATTTCTTAGGACCTACCACGTTTTTCTTTGAAACACCTAACTTGGAATTCATGAGTAAATGCCTGGATGGTAATTAGGTCATCATTCTATCATTTACATGTTCAGCATATCTTGTCATGAGTCGAATAAAATCTTTGAAACTGATAGGTTGCATACTTGTATTTGTTCTACATTCGAATTACCTTGCCAACATATAACTTATAAAACGTAATTCAGCAATCAGGTCACCAGTAAAGATTATATGACATGGTTCGAAAGTTATCACAGTGCCAGAGATCTAAACAATCTCTATTCTCTTTTAAATTCTGAATATTTTCATAAACTTTCATCTATTTACTCTCATCCTTACCCAGCACTTTTGTCTACTTTAATGTCATTCTTTTTCTTTCCACTTTTCCTCTGTATCTGGCTATGAAATGGTGCAACGTGAAAAGACGTCTTCAAAGAAAGATGATTCTACGTTGATTTGTTCATTTGTCATAAAAATCAGCTATCAATGACCTTACAGTACATTAGTAAATGAAGAATTGGCACCGAAGCAATGCATAATTTTATCTCTGTTATAGTTGTAACGAAGGCAATCAACAGGCTCAAATGTACCTTCTCCTACAAAACCTGACAGACAGACAGAAAAACAATGTAGAAACTCACACACAACTGCATCGATTCACGTTGCCACACTTCACGTAGGGTGCAAAGAACAACTGGATGTAAGAAGTTATAACAAAGTAGACAAAAGCGTATGAGAGTTGAAGAGTTAATAAATGAAGGTTAGTGAAAATGTTCAAGCTTTCGAAGACGCCAAGGAGTGAATGAATCGTCATCATTATGACCAATAGTCATTCAAATTCCAAGGTCTCTAACCACTGATTTCTATCGTTTCGAGGACCCAGATAGGTATTTACACCTTCCTACACGCTTCAGACTGGGGCGAGTGCTCGTGCCCGTACACTAGCCTCCCCATTTTGGGGGCAATTTTCTTATTTCTTATCCACCTCCTACGGCAGTGGTGTCTCCCACTTTAGGCAACTTTCTACCTTGAAAGGTTTCCATTTCATCATTCGTTTCTGTTTGATGTCCCCTGAATCCGCTTTTGTTTTTCTTTGACATTCTAAATAGCTTGCTTTCGTTCTGTGAGAGATTCGATCATGCTGGTTGCCGCCAAGTTTTACTGTCCACTGGAATATAGATCTGTTGAAACGATAATTTCTTCGTTTTTACCTGCGAGGATACTCAATGTACTAATAAGATCAATGGAAGTCCTGTTTCCCAGTCATTTCCTTTAGTAGCTAACCATTCTTACAGGCTGTGGTTATTTCTCTCTGTCAACCCATGGTCGGTAATGCGACCTGGCAGTTGACAAACGATACAAACCTAACGCGCAAACGAATTTACTTTAATCGCTAGTCAGAACGTCAACCGCAACAATACAACAAATACGCGAAGACAAGAAGAGAAAACAAACAGCCTTTACTGTCTCAACAACAGCCAAAACAGTTGAGAGTGATGCTACGTATATAAATCCTAAGCGATCTTGACAAATACTGAAGTCACTGATAGTTAAAAGTTAACAGAGTCAAATTCGTTAATATAGGTTTACAACTTGGGCACTGTGGTAGAATGTAATTCCACATTAGATTTGTTTATCTGATCTATAACATACACAGCGATACAGTACTACTTACTTGATGACCTTCCAAGTATAAATTATCATTGCTCATGATCATATGTAATCACAGTGGTTTCGACACTTGATTTTTCTAGTTCTGTCACATCATATGCTTTGTTATGTTTTATGGGTAGGAAAGTTTTTCACATCTCTGATATAGGTGTTGCATCATTCCTATTACGTGTTGCGTGTTGATTCAATTAGCAAAGATTCAGTAATCCATCCTCTCAATATCCACCTAACTATATTGAACTTAAGTACAGTGATTTGATCTATCCTATTGTGCGATTGTTTTAATGTATCCATTGTAACAGACATTTTTTTACTAGATTACTGATCTTATTCGGGTCCGTCATTCTATATTTAGCTAAATTCCCATGTTCCGCTATTCTAACTGAACCTGGCCGGCTAGTTGACCTGTGTGGTTGACCTCACAGTCACTACATGGAATTTGATAGACTAGATCACTTTGCTTAGTGGTTCTATTAGATCCTTATTCCAACCGACAAAGCTTATCTCTGAGTGAGTTTGTAGGTTTAAATGCCACCCTAATTCCAGCTTTGTTGAGGATCCTGCATACGGTTTCTGATGTGCCTTCCTTATAGGGTAACACAATGAGGCTGTGAACTACTTTCTATCCATATTGTCATTATTATCCGTACTGGTGTTACTGTGATTTTTCGTTTCTTGTGTTCGTACGGATTTCTTAATAAACCGCGGAGGGTGTTTTACTATTATCGCTTCTTTTATGTGCTTCAATCCCTTTTTTAGGTTCTTGCACTGACTAGTCAGTTTTCTAGCTCTATCACTTAGCCATTTGACTAAACATGCCTTAACTGACATTGGATGAGATGACTTAAAGTCTAGATACCGGCTAGAATGTGTCGTTTTTCTGTAGTATACAAACCACCGTCTGTCCTTCGTTTTATCCTGCAATTCAACAAAGGTAATTCTCCTTATTCATTTTCCACCTCATGAGTGAATTAGATTGCGCCTACTACTGAGTTTATATGTGTGAGGAAATTGCCGATATGTTCAGATTCAGCACAGTAAATGTGTCATCTACATATCGCCACCATATTTTAGGTGCAGGGCTAAACGTTTGTAAAGCCACATTTTCCCAACTATCCATAAATATATCTGCTATGGTTGAGGATTTGAACGCGGTCATGACATTAGCTTCACCACGTTAAATTCCC